AGAAAATATTTCTTCACTTAGCAATATGTACATAAGCTATACAATTTATTTTCGTATTTTTAATTGATTATCAGAAAATTAAATTATGAATACCCGTTGTACTATCTTCAAGCAGTTTATTATCAATCTCCTGTTATCTGGGCCAATATACATACATATATATATATATATATATATTCATCGAGACTAGAAGAATCCTCAACAGAATTCAAAAAAGCATTGGACGGATGGTTCATCCTATTTGGGACTCATTAGTATTCTTCATCATCTATTTTCTATTAATGCTATATATGGTTATTCAAATCCGCCGGAAATTTAGATCACACACACACATATATATATATATATATATATATATATATATATATATATATTTTATAAATTTACACACAGACATACGCACGCCATATTTAGGGATGCATAGGTGTTTCAGTAAACATCTATGTTTTTTATACTTCGCACATAATATATACATACCGACAGTTTGAAAAAATAAAAAAAAAAAAAAAAAAAATAAATATATATATATATATATATATATATATATATATATATATATATATATATATATACCTCCCGATAGGAGTCGAAACTGTATTGTACCTTTCTGGGAACTCGTTTTTTACATGAAACCTTCCTTATTAGTATGCTAGCAAAAAGCAATGACCTCAAAGCAAATATCGAATACTCGAACTTGCTTAATGTTTATCGTTTAGTGTGTCTAGAATTACGCCCAGAACACTTTATTAATACAAAGGTGCTATATCTTTTTCACAAAAATATTTATTAGATATGTTTAATAATTAGATATTGTTTCAAAGTTAAAATATTTTGATGTTTTCGACTTTCATCGATATATAATGCTTTTTAAACTGAGCTTTATGGAACTGATTCATTTTTGGCAAATAATTAATCTCGTTATCCTAGATGATGTAGTGATATCTCTTTTTTCTACAGTAGTTTAATACGCTTGCCCTTAATCCGATAAATCGTCGTTTTGACTCTGTTTTCGTAGCGGTAGTAATACGCTTTAGATAATTCTGAACTTCAAGATTAAATATTTTCGTTATTATTTTTAGTAAATACTTTTTTAATAGATTTTATTAAATCGAAAAAGCTGTATATAATCATAACCACATTTTTAGACGAATTTTGCGACGTCTACCTGAATAAAAATATGCCAAGTTATGTGATAATTGTTTCCATCTAACTTGAAGATACTTCCTTTTAGAATATATTAACAGTCACAAATTTCGCTGTGATAAAATAAAGAATAAAGCTAGCCATGTCTTTACATAATGGTTGAACATCATATTGAACAAAAAATTAATGATCAAACTTAAGGTATTAGTGTAAACCTAGTTGAGCTTGTCTCCAAAATAACATTTCATTTAAAACATAAGATACCTTTGTCAATAAAACGTTACAATTAAAATCCATTTCGGAATATTCATTTTTAAATTGACTTTGGACTAATAGCGGAATATAAATTCTATGCAATTTCCGTTCATTTTTATGCTTCGCATAGCTGAAAATATTATGTGATAGCTAATAACGTATAGGTTAAAATACTCAGGACTATTATTAAAGGGGTTTCATTCGTTTATTCCTAAAGTTAAATTAAATAGCAGTCAATTAATTTCTTCTACTCGTAAATATATGATGCTCTTAAATATTCTAAAAAAAAAAAAAGGAGTTTCAATGGTAATCCTGTATTATTGATAGTGCTCCCATCTCGTTGATAGTAAATGTAGTCTTGCAGCTGTATTCATGCTTAATTTATATCTCTGTATTGCTCCCCGTAGATAAAATTGAATTTGACATTTCGTTATTCCCTATTAAAAACTAATCGTGAATACAATTAATATAAAACATTCCTAAGAGGTTACTTTTATTTCACCAACAAAGGACTGAATTTTAACCAAGCAGATGCATGGTACTACTACTATTAACTGATTTTACCAATTCTTTTGTCAGCCGACGCCAATGAAACACAATATTTGAGGTATTGTATACCCGTTCAAACACTACGTCATTATATTTGAGTTCACACAGTTTGTTGTAGTTGACGAAGTATTTATTCAGTAAAAGAAAATGTCAATAAATAGCAATGAAATATGCAGTAAATTTCTTCTTCTATGTACCGTGTCTCTTCAGGACGTTGACGATCATGGCTCTTCACAATTTCCTATTAATTGTCGCTATTAAAAATTTCTGTTTGTTTTATCTCTACTAAAATATTTTCTGTCATCCATTATCGGTAGGTAGGTTATACTTTCTTTTCCTCTGTCCCTGTTGCCTCCAACCTGACCTAGGAGTATCAAATTTTCCAAGCCCTCTTTCCTTAGTATGTACTCTAGAAATTTCAACTGTCTCTTTCTAATGTTACGTTTAAGCGTCATTTGTGTTCCATTTTCTCTAAAACTTCATCTTTGCTCAGTCCATGATATCCTCAGCATCAGTCTGTAGAACCACATTCTTTTTAATCCAAGTCCCTTTATCATCTGTGCCATATATGAAGACTGATCTTACGTAGATGTTCAGTATTATTTTCTTTGATTCTAACAATTTTTTTCTGTTTCTTTATACTTTGCTTTGAATTTAAAAAAAAATTCACTATCCCAATAAACAATCCGATTTCAATCTCGCACTTCCCGACCTCTGGTAACACACTTCCTAGTAATTTAAATTGTTGTACTTGTTGGATTTTGGTATCTCCAATTTGAAATGTGTTTGTTGTGCTGTTCATTTTGATGGCAACCCTGCACTGATGTTTACCATTTTCTCCTCGCTTTCTTACACTACTTTCTTAATCTGCTTTTCTGTATCCGTGACAGCCCTGTATTATCTGCATATCCTATGTTTTAGAGATTATGGCCGCCAATAATGAATCCTGATAGGACGTCTAATTGTCTCAGAATTGCCTCACTTTATAGGTTGAATAAGTCAGCTGAAACGACACATCCATGTCTTACAGCCCTTTCTATTTTTGTATATTCAGAAAATTCACATACTATCCGTATACAGGCGGTTTTAAATGTAAAATTTCAAGAAAATATTAGCACATATTTTCATAATTAAACTAGTTATTTGTATTATAAATATCACTGCGTTGTGCTCTTTGTTGAATTATCACCGATTGCATTAAACGGGTGCTCACTTAGAGTGGACCCGCCCCTTGGGCGCTTGTTGGTACTTAGACTTAACCCAGACATTAAGCGGAATTCGTACATAAAATCAATTGCCATCATTGATTCCTCATGTTATCCTCTATCTGTACTAGAGCCAGATCAGGCCAAAAATGGAGCACTTCTACCATATATGGGCTAGACCTGTCTAGTCTTCACTTTCTACTTTTGATAACCTTTGCTGGTGTAGATTTATTTTCCACCCTACAATCATTTTCCCACAGACGATACGTCAAAAGACACTTGCTGCTCTATCTTTATTCCCCAAAAAGATCCCATATGAAATACATTCCTTAGTTTCAATAGTTCTAAACTTTCCGGCTAAGATCCGCCATGCCTCGCAAACTGTAAAGAAACATCCTCATTGCATTCATATTCCACAGGTGATATTTAAGCAGCTTCTTCCTAATGAGTTGAGGTGCAGACTACAATGTATCACTACAAACTTAACCTATACTAATCTACAGTCAGGCGTTATCTTCCCTTCTTATCCTCATAAATTCTGCCTGTTTATATTCAGCCCTCTACCTTGAGAGTCTCTTGAGCCTTATTGAGAGTGAACATCGTCGTAAAAAAAATCAACATAGCAATTTCTGTCAGTTTATGTTATAACAATCATCAATATTGTTTTCATAACCTTTTTCTCTTTGGACTTCCAAATAATTACAGATCGAAGTCTCTGTATTCATATCTTGGTTTTGTTGATCCTATTTTGTTTGTTCCTTTAAATATTTGATATCTTGATGTTTTCTTTTCAACTTAAATATATTGAATGCAGATTGTGGAATCGACATCTTAACCGAAATTACCATTTTCTTGCTTGCCACAATATATTGCTGCTCACCAACTGGTTAACGTATTCTTTTTTCATATTTTCCCCTTTTGAATTGTGTGATTGTACTAGTGCGGGTAACAAAGCACTTTATTTTACATATTAGAAAATGAATTTTATCCTCTTATATCACTGAAAAGATAAGAGGCAAGTATCATGCGGGCACCCGAGAGTTGTTAGTAAGTTGTAATCGTAAACGTTTCACTAAGCTCCAGATCATTACTCTAGGTGGTGAATGTAAGTAAGAATAAAAAATCTGGAATGTAAGTAAAACATCTTGAAAGGTAAACATAGAAATAGTAAAATCGATGAAAACAAAATTGTAAAAAAGCAAAGCAAATGATAGCATGGCTTCATAACGAGAAGACAGAAAGAAAAAAGTGTAGCAAAGAGCAAATAATGAAAGAATAATGAAAATAGAAAGTAAAATATTGGAATAGAAAATGAAGACAAGAGGTACATATGAAAGAATGGATGTTTTTTTTTTTCTTTTAAAACGACGGTTAAAAGTAAAAGCAGGAAAATGTTAATAACGACGATGTCGAACTTTCATTAGATAATATCAAGGAAAAAATATAGGGTAGACTATTTTAATGCCAGTGCCATGACCTTTCAAAGCATAGACGATCAAGACCCTTCGAGTTCTCCCTTTTCTTTATTATTTCTGAATTTCCAAGCATTTTGGTGAAAGATAGTGGAGTGGTTTCCATTTGCCAGCGCCATAGTTTAATACTCAGTGTATATGTACGAAATTAAACGTAACATCCTTGGCTGAATTTGAACTCGGCTCTCCGATTCCACTTTGAAATAATCGTTACACTAACTGCACGCCACATGAATAGACTTAAAGAAATTACATTTCAAATTGAAAAATTTGATTTTATATAACATGAAATGATTAAACTAATAATAGTATTTGTATTCGAACTAATTTACATTAAAAGGAAGGATGATACTGGAAATTTTAAAAATGCGTCATATTAGAAAGGAAAAGGAAGTGTACTATTCGAAAGAAAGGAAGGAAAAGTACCATTAATATTCAGGAGAAAATGCAACGATATTATTCGAATGGAAAAGAAATAATTATATTCGATAGAAAAAGGAAGGATGATATATGAAAAAAAATGGAAGGAAATATTTGTCGGGGTTGACTTTAACATCGAAAATACGAAAAGAAATAAAAAGGACGACAAAAAAGAGTGAAAAAAGAGAATTGAATGAAAATGAGATGCAAAAAGGAAAAAAACAACATAAAAGAAACTTTGCAAGAAAAAAAAAGATTAAGACATAGAAATAGATGGCCGATAACTTGAAAGAAAGATGATGACAAAGAAGAAAGAACAATAAAGATGGAGATATGAAGACAAGATAGATAGATGGATAGATAGATAGAGGGAATGCATGCAAAAAGATATTGAAATAATGAAACAATGGTAAAGTGTAAAATAACGAAACAGCGGTGACTCTACAAATAAAGCAGAATAGTTAAATGAATTAATATTCTCAATAAACTTTTTAAAATGTAAAATAGAGGAATGAAAAAAAAACCCTGCATTAAAATAGAATCAAACCTAAAGTGGAGTGAGGTGAGGAAACAAAGCAAAAGAAGCAAGCAGAAAATATAAGGCCTGCCTGAAAGAAGTAAGCGAAATTTATAATTAACAATTGACACTGTAGTAAGTCCATTACCAAATTGTCCCTTTAAATTTGTATCTTTCGAAATCCCATTACCACAATATCAGTGTTAGTAAATATTTTAACAAAACATATTTATATATTCAGAAGGGATAATAATGGAAGCAACATGTATAAACAATATATAATCATAAAGCAAAATAGCAAACACACTCTCTCCTCATATCAAGTTAGCGTGCATGAAACAAAGTTAAAATCTTGCTGTATTTATCGACGCAATGAATGTAACAAAAAAATAAATACAAGACTTTTTACTTACCTTGCAGCTTGAAACTTTTCACTGTCTACATAGTGGATTTCAAAAGATTATTTTAAAAATAGGAATATAAATAACATAAAGATAGAACAGTGAAGCAAAAGTCTCCTATTCCCCGAGCACGCTATCAGTATCGGCCATTTTTCACAAGATAATGATACCTTTTTATAATCTCCCTTTTCATCACTTTTCTTTTTCAACTTTTTTTTGTATTTACTACAACTGCTCAATGTATATTTGCTACTAAGATTTCATTCGTCTCAAGTGCTGACCAAAAAGAGAAAAAATAAATAAAGTATATTTTCCGGAAGCAACGAGAACATTTGGAACTACATACTCTCATTTAACATTGCAATATTTTCTTCCGTGAAATGACATTGCATGTGTAAAATTTCAGATTGAACGATATAATGATAATGTGTATAGATTTACCATTAATAAACCGGTATGAATGTATAATGTGTAAAAGAAATTCATGAACTTAAGTACATTTTTATATAAGCAAAGTATTGTATAAATATGTATACGAATGAAACAGAAATAAGTCATGGAATTGTAACATTAAATAATATCAGCTTTTAAAAACGGAAAAAATAAATTTCCATTGTCAGTATGTTTGAACTATTCAGAATATTCATACACATAATTTAAAGCTAAAAACAAAGTATGTCTACTCAGTGCGTATCGAGGCCATGTAAATAAACGAGGAAATCATCTAAAAATCTAACATGTTATATTCATCTTCTATGTTTAATCTACCTTCAGGAATTTGGCGACAATGGCTCCTAACAGTTTCCGGTTCTTTTTAGCTTTATTAAATCCTGTTCCGCCATCACCATTTACCGATGTTTGCTAGGGAGATACTCTTTCCTTGTGCTGCTCTTGCCTTCAATCTGTCTCGTGACTATCAAATTTTCTAAGCCATCTTCCCTCATTATGCGTCCGAGAAATTTGAACTGTCTCTTTCTTATGTTAGCTATACGTGACTTTTTATTTCGTTTTTCTCTAAAACGTCATTGTGGCTCACATACTCGGTTTATGGTATTTTCAGCATCATTGTTTAGAGCCAAACTTATGTTGATTCGTCTCATTTCCAGCAGATATTTCGAGGCAGCAGTCAGAATCAGGGGACTATTGAGTATACCACTATAGTTAAATAAAACCTGTAACAAAGGCTTGCTTAGGTACATATGTGTTTACCCAATATCCACAGTGACTATCTGTAGAATATACAGCAACAATTTTTTAGAGACACCAATTACACTGTCTGAGAGAGAACAGAACCTGCCATAGTCAGTAGTGGAACAAGACCATCATGCACAAATCTTCGGTCATGATGCTTTGTCACTTCGAACTAGCATACTAAACAAAGGCGACTGAACAGTTTCATTTGTACAATTGGTCTCGCAAATTGTCAGGTTCTTTACAACTTAATGCTAATAAAATGACGCAGGTTTTCATATCAATGTAAAACACGATTATGAAAAAAAGACAATATATATATATATATATATATATATATATATATATATATATATATATATATATATATATATAATAGCCATCAAAAGTATATTAACAAGCAACACAAGGATCGTAGTAACATTAGCTAGATGCTCGCTGACAACTGACCCCCACAAAGCTCCCGTTAATACGTAGTAATTTTTCATGTACTTGTCAACTTGACGATAACATAACAACCCTGTTTTCTATATCAACGTATGACTATGGAAAAGAGAACACGTATACACACACACACATATATATATATATAGTGCTATCAAACAGCATAAGGAGCATATTAACATTGGACAGTTATAGTTCAATACCAAAATCCTAACAAAATCAAATTGTAGAAACAAACATATGATCCCCGGAGCAATGCATATACACAAACAGCTATGAACAAGAAGACTTATAGTTTATTATGAGGCCACATCTTCAAATGTATAGATAAATAAAATGAACATACACACGTCACATCTTGCCTTCGTGACTACACGCGCTAATTCTATGAAATTTCTTCGCATTTAGCTCTACCTGTCCTGAGGATTAGCAATGCCTACCCTGAATAAAATAGATCATCAACTACATTTTCCTTCTGTGGCACAATATGTACCGGATCCAACAAAATTATGATGTTTACACTGAATATTGTGCATAAAATGCAAAATATTTTTTATAGATTTACGTCTTAAAATGTGCAAACTCGTTACATTGATTAATTACTGACGACACGTGCCTTATATATGCGTATGTGTGTATATGTGTGTGTAATTGATTATGCAAGATTATTTTACAAGGAAGAGAATTGTGATTATTTTGGAAAGATTGTTAGAATAATCCAATATTTATACCGCCTGCATATGGATAGACAATGAATGGATTAGATACCCTCAAATAGAAAGAGGAATTATCCAAGAAGGTGTCTTCTGTGCAGATTTGTTCAACTTTTATAGCTATGTCATCCTAACGGAGATGGAGATCCTAACAGTATTTATTATCGATGGACGTACGCCGATGTCACTGTTTTGATGACTGACACAGAAACAAATCCATGAGACCTTCTAGACAGGAAAGGAAAGCGAGAAAAAAAGTTCTAAGCAACAACTGGCAGTATACAGAAACTATGTTTGTCATCAAGAGAAAAAAAGTCCAAAATGAGAACTCCGAATTGGAAATATCAACATGTATGCAGGTGAAGCATTTGGAAAGTGTTTTAACGGTGGATTAAAAATCTGAACGCGATTTAGATTAGCGAATGATACTAAATAAGGAAAAAAGCATTTCGCTAGAAACAAGGAAAAGAGTTCTGATTTGCTATGTAATATCAGTCTTCTTGTATGGTAGAGAATGCTTAAAAATCTCTGCAAATTGAATAGAAAACGAGAAGAAACAGAAATGAGGTTCTACAGGAGGTTATTGTGAATTCTATAGACAAAGCGAATAAACCACGAGGAAGCCTTATAGAAAGTTGTAAGAAAAAAAAAGACACTTATCAACCTAGACATACAGAGGAAAGATAGAATGATCAAGTATCTATACTGGAATGCATACGTACAGAAAATTAGTTCAGCAGTTAGACAGAAATAGAAAGAGGTGTAAAACAAGAGCGTGTCTTCTCACTCGACTTATTCAAGCTATAAAGCGAGGCAGTTCTGAGAAAATTGGAAGGCCTACATGGATTCATCATCGGGGTCCATAATCTTAATACAAAATATGCAGATGATACAGTCTTAATAACGGACACGGAAAAGAAACTATAAACCTCCTCCAGATGGTAGCGAAGATAAAGACCTCAGCATAAATTACAAGACAAATTTCGTGCTTATCAGCAAAAGGATGAGTCCAAAATGAAAATTACAGGTCAGGAAAAATACCCGGTAACACCTTGTGTTTTAGGGATTTACTGCCTTACATGGGGTGATACCGATTAATATCTATCTATCTATCTGTCTGTCTGTCCGTTTGTCTCTCTCTCTCTCCATATATATATATATATATATATATATAGGTTTTTCCAAAACGATTTGACATAATTTTAAAAGCAATCATCTTAAGTGTTGAACATCATAAGTTTATTATGGGACCGATTAGTGTGAATGAGAAGAGTTCAATATGTGCACCGCCTGTGACACGGCACACGTCAAGTCGGTAGGTAAGCTTTTGCCAAACACGCTGTAGCATGTAACCGGTAATATTATCCGGAGCGGAAGTGATACTCAGCTTGAATTCATTGATGTTAGCAAAAAGAGGGAAGACATAGATCATTCCCTTCACATATCCCCATAAAAAGAAATCACTCGACATATCTGGTAACCGCGGCGGGCATTTACTCAGAAAACTGTCTTCTACTCCGCTACGCCCGACCCACCTCTTTGGCAGATTCTCATCGGGATAACCAAAATAAAACATTAAATATAAAATCTTGATCTGTTTCTATACATTCTGTGAAAATTTGAGGTTATTTCAACAAGAGTTGCCAAAATGATTGGCCTGCGAAACGATGTAAATTTTTTGGGACACTCTATCTATCTCTCTCTCTCTCTCTATATATATATATATATATATATATATATATATATATATATTAAAATTTTGATTTTGTGCATTCTGTACGTGTTGGTCCTTTTCCTTAATTATATCTGCTCTTACGCCAAAATTAAATGTAATAGAAACAATGCATTTTCGGAAAATGGCAAATACATACTCTAATCTTGACGATACAGCTATTTTCTTTCAAAAATATCAAAACACCACCAGCCTTCTCAGGCCATTAAACGAGTGTCACTCTTTAAACTGACATGAAATCATAAGTATCAACCCACATAACACATTCCCACGTCCGATAGTTACAATTTATCCTACATGATTAGCCAATAAATATAATTTTGATTATACCAATAGATTTTTAAAATACAGCTCTGAAATAAACCTAACACTAACCACATTGCCACATTATATATACTATTTTTTTAATAATATCCCTTGTTAAAAAAGCTATTGAACTAATAATACAAACAGGGAACCACAGTCAGTATAGGAATTGGTGAATATTTCGCGGCTCAAGTGATATTCATATTATTTCTATGTCCATATATTAACAAAGTTATACATAATAAGCGCTCTTCATTTAATTTTATATTTGCACATGTTCATAGTTTGAACAGTTATTCTTTACTGCATATGAATCAACTCAAGGATTATGTACACAGTTGAATCGGTCACTATGAATGTAATAACAATCAGTAATCAAATAACAAATTTTAAATGGAAAAATCCTTACATCTGTAACCTGTAGCCTTTATATTATAAGTGATTTATGCATACCTGAACAAAATCAAAATTTTATCTCGCTCATTAGTTTAGGTACCTCTATTAGGTCGCGTAAAAAACAGGCACGGTGGAGTAATGGATAGCGGCTTGGATTGAGGAATCGGAGAGCCAAGTTCGAAATCCAGTCGAATCCATTACATTCACTTACGTGCTAATACCCTTGGGAAAGGTGTGAATCCTCTTTCTTCTCCCTCCAGCTATGGGTAAATAGCAGGACAGACTGGGTTATATAACATTGGATGGCAACTGGTCTAGGAGAAGGAAAACTCTGAATTCAAAACCTGCTCTTAGATGAGGGTGAATGGAGTCTCTCTGGTTGGCAATCCATTTAGTGATGGTGTCACGATAAAAAAACACCCTTGATAGCCCTAGCGAAGCATCAAGAATTCAGCTATTTGACAAGATTATGAACTACACCAATCAAAGTATTGGTGAGTTCAATCTCGGCTGAGGCCGCAAGATGATGAAAAAACAGCATATCACGATGAAAAAAAAAGCTCATAACTGAACGAAAATAAATTTTGTCATCAAAATGTTGTTATTAATTGAAAGCTAAAACATTAAATTTATTATTTACAGTAACATATTCTGTTGTATTTCAGAGGGGAAACTATATAGATTGGAATGCCAAATATATGCTTGGTATTTTTAATTTTCTTAAAAGCGGCCATTTTATAAAATTTTAAGAAATTTGTAAACAAAAAAAAAATTTGATTTTAAACTTCTTCCTAAAATAAATTATATATTTTTGACACGTTATTTGAGTAAAATCAGAAAATTTCAAGTTAAATTCATCTGATTTGAAACAAACATTACTTACTTATAACATAAATAAATTGTATCCAATCATTTTTAACGATGACTGAATATTTTCATGTCTTTATTCACGTTATCGATGTTCTCGAAATATTAAGAGGTGATTACATATACTATACATGATCAAAATTGAAATAAGTTTACGAAGTAAGCGAACGCGTTTATTTTGGTTTTTAACTAATAATTTTTAAATATTAAATTTTATTCAGCAATTATATAATATTTATTTTTTATTTAATACTTTTTTTTAGTCTGCAGTTCGTTTCTTAGGTTCATAATCTTTTTATCTTATTTAACAACTAGTAACTCAAACATAAAATTACTTTCAATGAAATATGATCCAAACTAAAATAAATACCTAAAATAAAAATATTTAGTAAAAAAGTAATTCACAAAAATTAAAACTAACTTAGAAATTTTGAAACAACTTTTTGCAAATACGTTATCAATGTGAAACAGAACTGGATATTGAAGGGAAATAATTACAGAGCCTTAGACGACAATCAAATCACGTGTCCTTTTTAAGGATTATGTCATGTATAGATTCCTCATAGATAGAAATCAGGAACGATTTTTTCACTAAAAATTATTTTTAAAATCATTTTTAAAATACTCGGGTACAAAAGACTGTTATGAGCTTTACAAATTTCGATTCGTAAATTTCCTTTTCACTTAACCATTTCACCAAATTGCAAGTATAAAAGCAATTAAGCAATTAATATTATATAAATAAATAAATAAAATTGAAAAAATTATTTTACAAATACATTATTCATCAAAAAAGTTTTATTTCTTCAGACAATAATGTCCTTAATATGACGTATTTACAAAAACAAGTAAAAGCTTATCTAATTGAATAATATCATTGTTGTTTTGCATTTTTTTACAATTTAGAGCAGATTTTCTATGAAACCGCTATCTGTTTTTTTTTTATAAATTGAAAAAAAATTAACTAATAAAAAAATCCCAGTGTTAAAAATTCAATTTCTCGAAATTTCATGCAAACATGTAAGGGGGTGGGAAACATGTAAAAAAAGGTATTTTTACGAAGATTTTCTAAAGAAAAAAAAATCATAAATCATTTCATTCATTTCTGAATATTTCCTGAAAGTTTCATTAAAATCCAACATACATTGATTTTTGCAAGAACTTTCAAATCAACGTGTGTCTTCTCGGGAAAAGTGCAAAATAAAACAAACCTTTTTTCTCTTTCACGACGCTGTCGTTTAAAAAAAAAGAACAAAAAGAAAAACAAGATGCAAAGGAGAAAAAATTCAAAAAATAATAAAAAAATACTTTGTTCTTTCCTCTCAATATCAATATAAACATTTAGATGACAGAACTTTGTTTTTGTAGTGTTATGGGCCTTTCTTCATCGTGATATGCTGCTTTTTTAAGCGACGTAATGGAGGTACCTACATTAGTTTTCGGATGATTAAAGAATTATTATAATCATTTCAGAAATCGTAAAAACAACTACTGCTTCGCTTGTCCACCCTTGATTCTAATGATCTATCGGCAATTCTTCAGTCGGGACCCAACGCTGCATTAACTGACCCAGTTAACAATAGACAATATATTGAATGTTTCTTTTTACTCGTTTTATTACAGTGGGTCCATAGTAGACATGGTTTCTTGGAGGAAGTGAGGGATAGTCAAAATAGAAAGGATAACAGCAGGTCGGCGTCTTATGCAACCTATCTCCCTGGTGAATTATCTCACTGTTGTAAACACAATCCGCAGAAGATTCCGGGAGGGGGCATTTGAATGCTTGAAAACTGGTTTTAACCCGTTTCTTTTTTATGCGTTTTCACTTTAAAACAAAGAAATCTGTCACTCTCAAGATACCATCCCCTCGGGTATAAAAAAATCCCTACTCAGTTCGGGTTTTCAAATGATAAACAATACGATAGGGTTTGCCATTTTTGGCTAGACTATTCATTATTAATATTAAAATTTAAAAAGAGCAATTAAAAATACAATCTTTATATAAATACCCTTATTTCACAAGGCATGCGAGGCATCGTTGAAGGCGGACCTAGCAGAGGTCACCAACCCAAAACTGGTTGGACAATGTCAAATAATGGACAGGTATGACTATACCAGAAGTGCTGATTGTTGCACTTGATAGACCGTTGTGGAAGAGATTCAGTGTGGCTTCTCTATTCAGATCTCCTTTATGATTACAAAAGTCAAGGGAAATATAATGATGACGATGATCAACATCATCATCATCATTTCAGTAAGCAATCCATTGAAGATCGAATGCCAAAAATTCCCATGACTCCGTGTACGGATCCGTATAAATAAACTATTTTCTTCTATTAATACTACTACTAATAACATATGCACATAGATAGATAGATAGATAGATAGATAGATAAAGAGAAAGAGAGAGATGTTGCATATGCCGAATAAGTTATGTTTATTTGGTCATTATAACTTAATTTCCTACTTTGTATGAGGTAAAATCTCTCTAAATGATTATGTTCAAATTATTTCACCCATCATTGGATATTTTCAAGAAATCTGTATATTATTATTTTCAAATTCAAGAATACTTTGATATTGTATGTTTCCATACTGGCTTATTATTTGGGACGTTATTATTTTAAATCATATTTTGACGTGATGATGGCGTCATTTGTTTTTCGTTTATAGCTAACGCTAGACAGTCTCCGGTATCATGCAGAAGTTCTTTGGTGGTAGTAATGACTGAATATGTTTAATACATTCGTTTCATTGGCTATAAAATATATTTATGTAATGAAACTTTCCTTTTTGATTTTATGATTATGGTTTTGCGAGGTGTAGTCATTTATATAGTTTATGTTGTGACTATCTATTTGCCTAATAATAGCAGGCATATTTGGATGATGGCCTTGTGTGATAAGTTGATTACTAAGAAATTTTATGGCACCGTTTTCTGAGAAATGTCATATTAGTAGACTTGAAAGCAGTTTAGTCGGCTGGCTGATGTATCAGTTAGCTGATTCTTAATTGCATTGGAGATATAATCTCCTAATGGACATGAGAATCCATGTATTATATTGGAATTATTTTCAAGGGTTTGGGTCAGAGAAGTGTTATTTTTAATTATTAGGTTGACATTTTATAAGAGATTATTAATCCTTTCTATTTATATATTTCATTAAGTGATGTGTAGTTATGTATAATAAGAGTCTATTCGGTCTCGTTTGTAATTCAACGTATTTGACTGAACAAGCATAATTTCATTATAATTGTCATATGTATTGTGTTTATTATGTGTATTTATTTTCCTTATCATTATAATTTCTTTACTGCGGAAACGGGAAGAAATGATGAAAATTGCAATATCATCGATCCTAACATTGTATCTCGGCTTCAGCCACTTTCCCACCAGAGTTTTTTTTTCATTGTTTTCATTGTTTCGTTAATTAATTTATATAAGAACGTGATATACGTTACTTTTTGTTTTCCTGGTTCATAGTTACCTTCACTGTGCACAGTGAGTATTAATCCTTAAGGAGGTGGGTTGCTTTTGTTTAACGGCATCTCTGATTCAGTGGATTATTAATGATTAAATCTAAATATATTGAAAGCAGTTTTAGTTTATTTTTCGAGATAGTAATGGTTTAGTGATAAAGTCGTACTAATTAACCCACAAATGAAGGAGAAGTGAATTCATATATTTCCAAAGTCTATTTATATAAGTGAATATAACGAATCCAATGAGAATTTGAACTCGTCTGTCTGATTAACAATTCCAATACATTATCCATCACACTATCCGCAAATGCAAGAATTAGAGCACCTAGTATTTCCAAGCGGTCACCCCTTGACTTTGCTTAACTTTCGTGATCGTATGACGACCAGTATTTTAGCGTGATGTGGCTGTAAAATTTAAAGCATCCGCTTTACTCACATTTTCAATCCATGTCTTTCTTAGCATCTATGAATAGTACCGTATTTCTGTTACTTCAAGTCACTTCGTCATATGTGATGAGAATATAAAGCACGCAGGAAAGATATTTTATGCCAGTTCAACAATCTTTCATTTGTTTCTTACACATAGATTCCTTTTTTAATACATTTTGCAGATTTTGGAAGTATCGCCTTATATTATGATATCGTTATTATAGCGGAGTTTTTTGAAGTTATATATAACTTTAAAGAGATCATTTTGTTCCGATTGCACAGGTTATTCAGTTCTCCTGCTACTTAATCACACTTGATGCAAGCATATGTACCTTGTACACGAAAGGTCCGATTTACTGTATATGCTTTCAAAATAAACCATATCTATGCTGTTGGATACTTCTTGTCTTTATCCTCAGTGTAGGAATATATCTGGCAAACTTTCTTCCAGATTAATTTAAATTCTCCTGTCGTTATTGGGACTTTGGACATTATATCAAAAGGAGCAATCAAATCTGTTGATCAACCTCCTGGTAGCCCCAAAATATATGAATTGCAAGAGATCACTCACGTTTCTATTTCTTACATTTTGGGTATATTTATCTCCTTGAATTGACCAGAATTGCATAGTTCATTTATCCGATTGGAAATTGTCTCTTGACTGGTTGAAATTTGGTAAAACTTGCACTCAAGAACAACAACAAGAGCAACAACAAAAAAAATAAATAAAAATAAAAAATAAAATAAATAAAGGAAAATAAAATATACTTAGAAAAATATGTCAAGATAGAAGTTTTTTTTTTTTTTTTTTTTGTGACGCGTTTCATCCGTTAGGATTTCATAGGGTGAAACGCGTCAGTTTTTCATATTTTTCTAAATACTGTTTGTTGATATATAAAATTATACAAAATTATCTATCGTTATATATATATATAAAATTTTAAAAACCGTGGATTGATGAAGGCGGTAACAGGGAAAACCAGGAAGTGCGAATAAAAAAAGACAAGTCGAAAATCTCTCTCTCTCTCTCTCTAACCAGTGTTACGATGATTTATTATACAGGAAGACTGACATTTTGCTGGTAGATAATGAAGAACGAACATGCACCATCATAGATATTTTATGCGCTAGATACGAGGCAGTAATCGGCAAAGGATGAAAACCGGGGAAACTATGATAGATTTAATTTTAATGTTTAAGAAATGTGGTCACTGAATAGAGTGGATGCAATTCCCATTGCAGTTTCGGTTTTGACTATCCTAACTAGTGAAATTACAAAATGGCTGTTGATGACACGAGTCAACGCCAAGATTGAAAAGTAATAGAATACGATTCACCATGGAACACTTCTGATGTGTTTATATATCAATCAGTCAACAACAATAATAATAATAATAATAATAATGTGATGCTATACGAGGTATCATGATCATTGCTTCTCTTTTTAATTGATTGGAGGTGTTGTCGTAAATTTATACTGACGTAATGAAATATAATGCCTTTCTTAATCAGTCGAATATGTTCCCTACTGCCAGGCATTGTGTGCACGTCTGTTTGTAAAGGAAAATAAGGGTGACCGTCACAACTTGATGAAGAGTGGATTTATTTTAAATTTGAGAGATGAGTGAGTGAAGACCAGCTAGTTATCACATTTAGATAACTGGGAACACCAGTAACCTCATTTTATATATGAGCGGATTCGGTCACAGGTATTTGGTATTTCTCATTCACCACCCACCACCTACAAGATCACGCATTATATTAATCAAAATATATCACCATATTGCCTACATTAGGCTGTTATGCAGGACTCCGTTATACGTTCGTGTCATGATAGATATTTCTGGTGATATGTAGTGGTTTTCTTATATGTTACTACTTAGCTTAGATGAGGCACAAGGCCGAACGAATATGGCCTCCAATGAAGACTGAACACATTTTAAGTTGTAATTTCAAGCCTGCTAACCATTATACGACGTCAAGATGCCTAAATGATTTTCTAATCGTAGCTTAGATGTGGCATAAGGACGAAAGTGTGAAGTACCCAGTGTGTTTCGAACTCTCTAAACAATCGTAATTTATCTAGCGAGACAAGCTTGCTAATCAAATTATCACATCGAAGTACACTTTTCTGGAGATATCTATCTCAGTAACAGCTCCAGTAACTATGCTATATGGCGTGATTGCTTTTTTCACTGTAAAGGGGACAACTGCACATTCTCATGTAGATGTCTCTTTTATTTTTCTTTTGGAATTCCAAGTCAAATTGAGTTACAAAAGATATTAAATTCGCCTATAAATGTAATATTCACAATGTATGAATAAATTTGTTTTCAAAGCAAACATGTTACTAAGCATATTTTTATAGCTCCTTGTCGATAAATATAAATTCGATGATGAAATCAAAAAGGAAAATAACATATGTTGAAACTTATTATTTGCTTTGAACAAGATCCATTTCACATGAATGCCTGAAGTGATTGTGTCTCAGAGAGTTAATTTCCATTCTATTATTTTAAGCTTCTCACAACATTTATGTGTTTACATCGACGTTGTCAGAAGCTGTGTAATTTTATACATTGTGAGAATGTGTATTTTTACAGCATTTTCGTATTTCAGTCGGAAAGGGGGCATCGAAAATAAGTCTAGGTTTACTAATATATATATATATATATATATATATATATATATAGAGAGAGAGAGAGAGAGAGAGATGTGTATTTAGGCAGAAACCTTTCTTTCATGCATCTTTCATTGAAAACGGCCAACATGAAAAATTTAGTTAAGCTTTTATTGAATTTTTCAAGCAATCTAACATTTTTTTTCGTTTCTCAGGAGTTAGAAAATATAGTAATCGCCATAGTTATAATTGTTCCGAGCACATTCACCTACTCCTCTGGCAATTTTCAATGATGTGTTTTTGGAAGGTGAAATAGTGTGCGTGGCTGCTCCATCGTAATTATACAGTGTGGCGTTCGAGCGGTTTGTGTATTTCTTGGCGGCCAGATGACCGGGCAAGACTTCCTTTTTTAGAACACATTTAACATGTCGTCTCCTCTGCGTAAGTGTGAGATTGACTGTGGGAGAATAAAGTTTAATAAGCAGAGCATCCTTAATGACGAGCTGTGTACGACTATGTGACCTGAAAATGAGAGGTGTATTATCGACTAGAATGTTCCTTAAATGTTCTTGGAAGTTATGAGTTAATAAATGTTTATTAATCGTATTCTTCCGAGACCGCCGAACGTGGTCTCGATTGTACTGAGTCAAGTGGCCTGTTAGACGTCTACTCAGTGAGGCAGTGGTTTGTCCGATATAGGCCATCGTTTTTGACACGTAATACAATCTTGTACAGGGCAATATATATGTACATATTTACTCTTGTCTCTGGCAAATGATACCTGGCAACTGTTCTTGAAAAGGACCTTCGGTGGTGAACTGTGGCAAGAAATGGGCTGTAAATTTTAAACTACAAAAAAAAACTGCTTATATTTAACGACCACAACG